GTCAACCATGAAACTTTTAATTTTTTTCAAGACATATGCATACTTTTATGATGAATATAATGTAAAAAATTTAATACATAACTATGATTTTAGGATATATTATAGCTTTCGTCTTTTTACCAATATTTTTTAAACTTCTCATCTTGCAGTTAATAATCAGGCAGAATGTCAATAATTAGCTATACAGCAATAAAAGATTTGGACCTTACTACTAAAGATCAAGTAATCAAGGCGAGGGTTACCAGGTTGTGGGAGAACATCAATCCAATCTCTAAATAGATATATGGATTACAACTAATACTGGTAGATGAAAATGTAAGTTGCGTACTCTAAACTCTATTTGACTTCTACAATTAAAGTCTTATACATATAGCATGTGATTTTCTATTTTATATTTATGGATAATTTCAAATTTACTAATCTGTGGCATTTATTATTATCAGGATGATGACGTTCAAGGGAACATAAAAGCAACTGAGATATCTAGGTTCAAACCAATGATAGAGGAAGGGAGGATTCATGTTATTTCTAAGTTCAAAGTGATAACTGCGTATGGTGATTATCGAGTAACTCGGAACAATTACTTTGTATGCTTTTTTAGACAGACTGAGATTAAAGTTCTACAAGATGATGATGAGCAAATCCCGAGACACAAATTTCAATTTAAAGAATATAGTGAGCTTGGACAATATCTAGGAAGACGTACATATCTTTATGGTAAGGTCTTGAACAATTTTAATAATTATGTTTTTCTTTGATAAGTTTGAAAAAATACCTAATACATGTATTAATAATATACAAATTTCATAGATGTTGTAGGAATTGTGAAGGATATTTACCCATTGGAAGATTCTAATACTAGAGGGAAAAGAGAAACTAGAAGATCGCTAAAAGTTATTAATGATATGTAAGCGATGTATACATTTGAATTTATAATGGATTCAAACATCATTTTAAATCATGCTTGCCTTTTAAATTTTCTTAAAGGGGCGAGGAATGTACAGTGACATTATGGAACAAAATTGCAATTGATTTAGAAGAACATGCTCAACAATATGACCCAATAATATGGTTATGATAATCACTAGAATATTTGTAACAAATTTTCGAGGTAATGAGCACGTACCCTTCCTATCCATTCAACTTGAAATTGGCAGCATCTTGGTTAACGTTTGCAAATCTAATTATGCATATCTTAGTTAGTAATCGTATAACACAAATTCATTGAGTGTATGTCGCAAGAAATAATATAGTTTCTTCTAGCAGCGCGTCGAGAGTATATATCAACATTGATGATCCAAAGGTGAAAGATTTATCTCAGAGGTATGTGGAGTAGTTGGTCGAGAGTATATATCAACATTGATGATCCAAAGGTGAAAGATTTATCTCAGAGGTATGTGGAGTAGTTGAAGAGATTACACTATAAACAGGATAGGTGAAAGATTTATCTCAGAGGTATGTGGAGTAGTTGAAGAGATTACACTATAAACAGGATAGCAAATGTTATACATTTGCATTATTTTGTATGTATGAATAATTTTTTTAATCAAAGCATCGCTCCTAAGGAATTCTAAACTGAATCTATCATCATCTAGAAATCTCAATGACAGTGAGGAATCGCTGCAAATAATTCCTACACCAGTCAACTTCTCAGCAGATCAACCAGATCTTACCAGAGCAACAAATGCCACATTGAATGATTTACTTTTCTTCAATGACCCTGAGACTTCTAGTGTAAATTTGCATTATATAATGAGTTACGTTCTATGATTATGTTTCATCACTGGTTTATATTACTTATCTGAGAAATTATTTTCCAATCATTACAGGAATATTATTTCATTTGCGAAGTGATTATCATTGGTATTATTGAGCATATGAAATGGAGATATAGTGGTTGTCCTGGTTGTTCAAAAAAATCCTTAATAGCTGGTAATTCATTCTGGTGTGAAAAATGTAACAAACAAGTCATGGCTCAAAACTGGTAATATATGATATCATATATACTCGCATATCAAGTTATATAATAGTTTAATAATCATGAAATGTAATGATTATTTGTATGATCTGTAGTTATAAGATAACACTAGAGGTCGAAGATTATTCAGTTGTTTCCACGATAACATTATTCAACAGAGAAGCTGAGAAATTGTTTAAGGTTTCTGCTGATGAAGTGGCCAAGAATTTGGTAAAGGTAAACTTCTTTATTAGATTTGATCATCTAATTTTGTCTAGAATCTATAGGTATCTCTTTTTCATTTCATGACATCATATTGTGATGTGATAACAGATTAAAGGAAGGGAAGTTTTTCCATCATTGCTTAAAGGGATTGTGGGTAAGAAAATTAAAGTTCAGATTAAGGTTACTAAATACAATTACATTGAGGGTAACGAAGGATTCACAGTTATGAAACTGATAGAAGACTTACACGACAGAAATAAAGAAAGCTACAATGATAATGCACAACAGGTTTAAATTCTTAAATCATAGAATGGTAAACAATTCATTTATCATACTAATTTAGACTTATCAATTATTATTTCTAATTAGGATGTGTTTGCCCCTCAAGAATCTCCTGTTATTAGCCTTACTAAAGAAGGACCACCAGCAACTCCAACAACTCCATTGATTGCTATTACAAATTTAGATTTGAGAAACAATACTAACATAATGATAAAACCAAAGATTGAGAAGGTCGTCAACAACAATTCGGTTGGAATTAACAGCATTGAAGTGGAAGAAAAGGCTGGTAGTACTGAGCAGTTCAAAGTGCCAATGCAGGAAGGTAAAATATCAGTCTTCATATTTGTAATGATAAGAATTATTTTACAATAGTAACTAATATGTTCAAATGTAAACTAATGATTCAACTTCAATGTTCTTAATGTAGGAAATAAGAAAAGAAGAACTAATAGAAGCAGTGAAAAAGAAAACTAACTTCTGGAGGACTTGACAACCACTTTGAGGAGTTATCAAACATAGTTTAGTGATCATATTTATGTGGCTTATGTTTAATCATATTATGTAGTTGTGCTTATGCAAAGGTTTAAGATGTATGTTGTAACTTAATTTGGATACTTTTGTTAAATGTAATTGCAATAGATTATTTCTTTTTTATCTGTATATGTAAAACATTTGTTGTTTTATTCAAAAATTTATACATGTTTACAGGAGCAGAAATAACAGCATATATCACAGTTGACAGGTTAAATGCCAGGTTAAATGATGAACTGATGTCACAGCTTTACTAAAGGAATTGGCAACGATGCTTATCTTCAGACACGTTGATCACCTTAAGACACATTTTGCAATTGCATCAACTTCCCCACAATCGTTTTAAGCAGAGCCGCACACATTCTGTTTACACTCTTCATCAATCCTCTTCTGCATGCTCAAAGTTCAAGAATTTTCTTCAACAGGTTACAATAAATCCTGGTTACACTTCATCATTCCTCTTCTGCCTGAAGATAGTTCAAGATATTTCTTCAACAGGTTAGTATCAATCATGTTTACACTCTTCATCACAAGTGAGTTTTTCATTTTTCTTTTTCTAACTATTTCTTTTATTTCTTTTTCTGACTATTTCAAGTGTTTCTGACTATTTTAAGTGTTTTCTTTTTCTGACTATTTCAAGTGTATTTCGTGGATTGCTCTATGATTTTTGGGGTAATTTTCAAGTGTTTTAAAGATTGAGTTTTTCTTTTTCTGACTATTTCTTTTATTTCTTTCGTCAATTGCTCTTTGATTTTTTGGTAATTTTCAAGTGTTTTAAAGCTTGAATTCTTTTTTGGTGGATCTAATCATGTATGTCCTACTTTATGTTTTTTTTATAATTCTTCGCTTCCTATAATTTTTCCTAGGTGAATTATTTTTCAATAAATCATAAATTGTGTTAGGCACTAAAATTTTAACATATTTGTTTGAGCATTTAATAGAAATATAAAATGCTAATATATTTATTTCATGCCATTATGCATATCTATGTCAGTACAATTTTTATTTCATGCCATTATGCATATCTATGTCAGTACAATTATTTGTACTAATACAATTATTTGTCCTATGATGATTGTTGCTGCTCAAGTAATTCTATGTCAGTACAATTATTTGTACTAATACAATTATTTGTCCTATGATGATTGTTGCTGCTCAAGTAATTTGTTGATTTTCTTCCTCAATTATGAGTATTGTTTTTTGAGCTGCGGTTTCTAGATATAAGCTGTCATCCTATACCTACTTATACTTGTAAGTGCTGTAGCAAAATTATCGGAGGGTAGGGTCCAGTTTCTACATCTTTGTTGTTGAGTCATAGGGCGTAGATAAATTTTGAGTAGTGTTGTCACTTCTTTAAAGAAGTTGCTATCATATTACTTACAGGGGAGCCATGATGTTCATTTATTTGAGTGGTAGCATGGTAGCATCCATAATTGTTTTTTTAGCATATGATTAAGTGGCAACAATTTAAAGATGGCGATGAAGTTCATTTATTGATGAAGCTGAGACGGATGGCTATTTTATGTTGTGTGGCTGTGATGTTGTTTTAAAGTTATTTCTCTGGTTGGAATCTGTTGTTTTTCGCTGGCTGCAGTTTTTTTTGGAGATTGCGTCTCTGGTTGCGATCATCTGGGGAAGCTATATATTAAAGCATCAACATGATATCACTTTATCATTATTTATGAATCTTTTTTTACTTTGTCCATATGAGATAAGCTTAATTAAGTTATAATGTCCTGTAATATAATGTCCAAAAGTATGTTAAAGATACATGACATAACAAAAAAATTAGATGACAAAAAATTACGGGAAAAAAAAACTATAAAGGATGCCGTGCTTAGCACAGGTTGAATACTAGTGCATATATATGAGAAAAATAGATATACTCAGGACTAATCACGCAATTGGTGTGCACATTCTAATTATCTGACTCACATGAACATGATCTCATCACATTACCAAGTTTATTGCTGGGTGCCAAGCACAAACGTATTGCTCAAAACTAATTAGCTTGTATCCTTATTTCCTTGTCCATTTAACTGTTGCTCGATCTACTCTGCTCCGTTACTCCAGGACGAAAGAAATCTCAAAAAAATCAAATTCCCTTTTTCCACGTAACAGATCAATTCCCCCTCACACAAACAAAACAGACAGACAATTCAGTGGATTGATTGGCCGATCGATCCCAAATGGAGACGCTAGCGAGCGCCATGAAGAACGAGAGGCGATGGCGCTCGAAACCCTCCCCCTCCTCGCATAGCAAAGCCCCTCTGATCATGGGCTTCCTCTCTTGCCTCGCTTGGCTCTATGTCGCTGGCCGGTGCTACCCTCTCTCTCTCTCTCTCTCTCTCTCTCTCTCCCCGTTCCTTCACCGTTATTCCTCTTACACATTGGAATCGATCCTTAGGGTTTTGATATTTTTATGTCAGATTGTGGCAAGATGCAGAGAATCGAATGCTTCTGTCCGATCTAGTCCATAGAAGTGCCACTCATGTAAGCTTCGATTTCAGATCTTTACACCGAGTTCTGACGTGGGTTTGATTCAAAATCTCATCTTTGTTTATGTTTGAAGCGGCCTAGGGTTCTTACAGTTGAGGACAAGCTGATGAATCTCGGATGCAAGTAAGTTCCCTTTGTGCCTCCTTTTTACAAAGAGGAAGATTGTGGAGGCTGAGATGGACTTGACATTGGCAAAGAGTCAGGGGTATTTGAGGCGAGAAAATTCTTCTTCTCCTAAGAAGCTTCTCGCTGTAGTCGGAGTTTACACTGGTTTTGGGAGTAAGCTTAAGAGGAATGTGTTCAGGGGTTCGTGGATGCCTACAGGTTGGTCATGTTTTTAATAGATGAAATTTTGTAACTATGTCTGCGAGTTAGTTATTTCGCCAATCACACATTCAATGCCTTGTCAATATCATGTATGCAATTTCATGCTATTGTTTGCCTATAATAAATGCTTACTGTGCAATAGGTTTGCCAGTATGCAGGTCTTATCATTCAACCCACTTAGTGATTTGTACCTTACTAACAAATTCCATAGAGCAAAGCCCATACATTTTGTTAAAAAAAAAATTCAATAAGACTATGTAAGATAAACAAAGTGGTGCCTATCCACCTGAAAACTCCATGTGATAGTTTATTTAAGCTTATACCGTGTGGTCTAGGGATCTGGTGGGCGGAATATCTTGGTTTCTACCTGGCACCCGCAATTATCCGTATAACCTTTGGTATTTTATTTTCTTGTAAAAAGTATGCTACAAATTGATACATGGTTCATATGACAAAAAACATGACATCCAATACCCATAACTATGACTCACAAATCTCAAACAAGTTCATAACCAAGGCAGCTATGAGAGCTTAAACATTAAAACACTAGTTTTGATTGAAAGGGGGAGGGATAACCCTTCAGTTTTGCTTTCCATTTTCTATCTCACCATCAGACTGTTCTCCGTATCTGCAGAAGGTTCTTATATGTAAGTTTAAACACGTGTAAATAAACAATTACACGCCTCATTAAGTTTACTGGTAGATCTCACCTACATTTGATAGAAGTAATCATTGTCTGAGTGGGCTTTTTAGTTATTATGACAAATTGGAGATATTGACCAAGAGGAGACGAGGGGTCTGTTGGGGTTTTATTTGAGGGTAGGAAGGTTTGATGAGGGAGAGAGGAGGGGGCTATCTAGGCTTGGAGACAAATATGCTCTGAGCCTGAAGAGGAACTTGTATTTGTTACGGTGAACGTGAGGATATTGGGGTGTGTGTTGGGGTGGGGGTGTTGGTTTGCTAATGGTTATACTGAATTAACTATTCAAATAATTTCCACCCCTAGCTATATCTAATCTCAATTTTTTAATGGCTATGTATGACTTGCTCAGTATGTTTTGATGGTTATCTGAAACTTATCACCTTTATTTGCTGTAATTTAAGTTATTAGTCTAAAATGTGTACTAAGTTTCTTAGTGTGAGAACTAGAAACTTATCTTATTTACTCAAGGTTTTTAATACCGGATATTGGGGAGATATTGGATGACCAAAATTCATATCGGATTGAGGATATCGGGGATATTTCAGGGATATGTGGTAAATATCAAAATGCTATAACGGATGTTTTCATATATAGTATAGTGCTCTAAAATGTATATAGTGTAATGCACTAAAACGTAATCTCTACATACTTACGGAAATTTGAGCATACAAAATGTAAGTAGTATATGTTTAGGATCACTAATCAGCCTTGTAAAACAAATAAAAGTACAAATCAACGTTGCAACATTTTGGTCTGATTTTTTAGGCCAAAATGTCGTTTGATATAATAGGAAAATTATGATATCTCACCAAAAAATGGCCAAAGGCGGTATATTATTTTGTGACAAGCCATATAAAAGCATATATCGGCCAACATATTGGTTGATATATCGGTCATATCGGTGATTTATCATCCAGAATACCCAAAAAACGTAAAGGATATTTAGAGACCATATCGGTTGAGACAAGCATTGTAAAAGGATATATCAGGGAATATATCGGGCCATGTCAGAGATATTTAAAACAATGTATTTATTTTTTAATCATGTAAGAATGTTTTTGTGAAAACAAAGATTGATTATTTTAATAATTTGCATTTATTATTTCTACACCTGATCATGACTGTTAATTTGTAGCCTCATTTAGAGTTTGATTTAGATTCGCATTCCTAAATTTAATTGAATATTAATTATTATTCACATGATTATAATTATAGGTTAATAGGAATTATCATATTGCAGGTGATGCTTTAAGAAAGCTTGAGGATAGGGGTGTGGTCATTCGTTTTGTTATTGGTCGAAGGTTTCCCTATCAACTAACAATGTTGTTAATTCTCTGTTTCTATTCCTTAATTGTGATAAGTACTGATTGAATACTTGGAACCTTGTAGTGCTAATCGAGGCGATAGCTTAGATCGTATTATTGATGAAGAGAATCTCCGGACAAAGGATTTCATGATTCTTGTAAGTTATTAAAGTTCTAAGAAACACTTAATTTGATGCATGTTGGCTGAATCTTTTCTTATTCTTTCCTGTTTTTTCTTTACCATTTACTGTGCTTAGATTGGTGGATATTAGGTGTTGTCATATTCAGTCATAACTAGTGGGTTTTTTCAATCAAATATGCAACCGATCTCTTCAGCTCTACTTATAACTGTTGTCTTACAGCTGCAAGCAGGAATCCTAGTCTCAATGTTTCTTTTATTCATCTGGAAGATTTGTTTTCATCAAATCACTTCCATATATTGTTCTGTGCCATTGTTCTTTTTGTAGTGATTGAAAAATGGATACTGTCTAGTAATGGTTCAAAAAGCACAGTTACTTGTGCGGGCAGTTTGTTCTCCAGGAGATGTTCTTTATAGTGGTTTGCCCACTGCTTTATTTATTTATTTGTTCCAAAGGCATAATTTTGTTTGTGTTCATGAAATTTACAAAGTACTGTAATCTCTTCAAGCAAAATAGATAGCTTATGTTACTGTTTTATATCCTTCATGAACATCCTTGGAACTTATAGGCTTATCTCTTGGATTTTCCCCATTCTTTTAATTCTTTATTGTCCTTTATATGGGCTGCATTCACTATAATAGTTTTGCGAAGTTGAAAAGGTTTTCAATGTTTCCTGCAAGAGCTAAGAAGTGATCATGTATGCAGAAAGCATGGTTATATGTACCATTTTTATTTGAGGTAAAAGCTAGCCTAAGGTCTTATTCCAATGTGCTAAGTATTCTATCAGGATCCTAGAAAGGGCTGTTATTGCAGCTATCCTAGTAACGCATCAATGGGAGCTGATGGTCTTCTTTATCAGCATGTACGCAATTTTGTTCAGAGCGGTCACATACAATATAGCTTAATCTTGTGTTCCACTTCTGAACTCTGTTTCTTCAGATATGGATGGATAATAAGTCACAGACTGCATACTGCAGATCACATATGGAAGTTACTATCAAAAGTTAATATCAAACTCTTGATACAATTCTTTTCAAGTTTTCATGCTTCTCTTGATCAATCATTATCATGATTCTATCCCTCTTAACTGGTGACTTAATGGTCTTTGTGGCAATGCCCAAAAAATCTCAGCAAGTCGTCCCTCATTTTGTGCGCAATTGGCGGCACCTCTAACTTGTCATAAACTGCGATTGTTTGCTACTTTTCCGTCTCAACATCCTCATGTAAGCTGCACTCATTTTCTGGATTTGTTTCTAATCACCTCACTTTCTGATGCATAAATCCTGTCTGGTTTTATAGCTTCCTCAATAAATTTCTTATTTAATTTAATTGGAATTCTGAGAGTGGTGTACCAGGGACAATCGTTTTTGTTACACTATTCACATGTCCATGCACTTACAAGTTTCCCTAGGCCGAAGTCATATATGAGCATTGAATGGTTTGGTTTCTTTAACAGTTTTGATCAAACCATGTCAGTGAATGGAGATTGCCATGAAGTCATCCTCAGAGACAAAATAAACTTCCATGAGGATTAATTACCA